CATTTTTGCCTGTCATAAAATTATAATAGACCAATAAACCTTTTTTTTTTTTTGGTTGATGTTTGCCTAACACGTCTTTATTTTCTTACTTTTTGAATTTTTATTGAATTATTTTGAATTTCATACAATATATCTTGATCATATTTAGACCCTCCATTATCCCCATACACCCCAAAAGCACCCCCCCCCACACACACACACACTGGATTTCATGCATTGTGACATATATGTTAAGGCTTATTGAACCATGTTTGTGTTCCCAAATGTCCCTCAGGGTGAGTCCATCCACTGGAGCCTTGTTAGCCTATTTAGTATCACTCCCTTCAGGAAAACCAACTCTCCTTCTATCAGTAGTCACTGTTTGCCAATAGTTCCTCAGCAACAGTTGGGGATTATTGGCCATTTCCCCACTTCTATCCTGGCCTTTTCACAATATCCATAGAAGCTCAAACCAGCTAAACCTTTCTTTGATGGGCTCTTGCCAATTCTATCATTTCTAATAATTATTATTTAATGGAATATGTTATTTTATGTAAGAGGAAAGTTTTCATGATTTAAGTATATGGATTTTCCTATGAGTTTCAACTTTATGCAGTTATTAATTGGGCATACATGTGGACATGCCTAGTATAACACTTGCTGTGATCTGAAGAGATTCTTAGCATTTGTAGACTTTTAAAAACAAATTTCCATTCACAGGACACTCAGAACACTAGATGTCTGCCTTGCTTCCCTTTTATTATTGATTTTGTGGGCTTTTATAAGTAAAGGTGCCTCTCTACATTTGTGCCTTCTCTGTACCCGCCATCTGTACAACTTTTAATCCAAGCTAACAACCAAAATGATCACTGGTTTTTCTCAACATGTGCATGTAAAATATAAAACCGTCAATTCCACCTATGTCCCCTTTATTTTATTACTCTCAATTTATGTTACTGCTTTTCATAGCTGATGAGAAACGCAGAGTACAGATGAACAGGCTCTTTTTCATCATGTAATTTTTAGAAATAGATATTTGGCACCATTGTTAATATCAAGAAGTCAATTACTTTGGTTGATTGAACAAGGAAGAGAAGTACATCTGTGCCTTTGTACCGCCCCGTTGTTCACATTTCATTAACTCATTTTTTACTTCTATGGCATCTTAACATGATCTGTTGAATATATTTGGCAGTCACTGTTTGCTAACACAAAATATTAAGTATTAAAGTTATATAAGGACATTATATTAACATGGCCTACTTGATTCATCCAAATTGAGGTGCCGAAATGAACGGAATTTTAAATTATTTGAGGATTTAATTCTAATTAAAGATCCATTTTAAGACACTTTCTATTTTAAAGTATACATTGAATAACTAGAAAAAATTAATATTCAAGCAAATAATCTTAACGTCTAGAAAGCAGTGGTGAATATAAAGATCCACTGGTGCTTAAATTAAGAAAGAACTTGATTTTCATGTAAATAGCTATTCTATTTGAAAAATGTTAGCGTGTCCTTAGCTTAGTTTAGAACTCTGTCTAGATTACAGAAATGGCTTTAAATTATATAAAAGTAGACTATGAAGTGAATGTTCCATGATTAGGCGTTCAAATCACCTTTTAAGACTGGTTTTCTGAACAGTTCTATCACTTGAGATAGTAACTATTCCTTGAGATATACTAAGCAGTTTACTACAACTTAGCCAATGATGCTCAGTTCCTAGGTTACTAGTCATTTAGCATGAAAACGTAGAAAACAGATTTGAAGAAATTGTGTACTACAAATTATAAAGTGTTAGTGTTCATGATGTTGTAAGTTTCAGTTTAATTGAAGATGTGAAAGTGACAATCCCACCTGTCTCAGCAGTTCCATTATACTTCTACATCAAATTTCTTTCTGAACCATCATAAAAATTCCATAAGTAAGATATTATTGCTCCTTTTCACAGAGTGAAATGCTGAGATGTTAAAGGCATTGAAGTCTATTATTACCCAATTAAAAATAGCATTTCAAACCAAGATGGAGATTTGAGTCTTTTAATATTAAAGGCAGTTTTTCTTCTACACAGGTATAATACAGTAATTACCATCTTGGGGGAGGTAAGGTAGTTACTCACTATTGTGATATCATCTGCTTTTGACAGTGATTATTGTAATTTAAATAATATATCAAAGACATGTTCTATGAAATTATCAGAGCTAATGTGATGAGCTTCAATGTACATATATATATATAATTACTGTGAAATTTTTAATGATTATAAAAATATGTATGTCCTAAGCTTCAATTTTTAAAGTACAAAATGCACAAAATGGAATTACTTTAATTCTGTAATTTAGAGAAGATAACTATTTTTGCTGCATCTCTTTTACTTAAGATAATATATGTATTTTATTTAATCTATCTATTTAGAAATTTTGTTGAGAGTATATATCTGGGCTGGGCGTAGTGGTGCATGCCTTTAATCCCAGCATTCAGGTGGCAAGGGCAAGTGGGTGTTTGTGAGATAAAGCCCAGCCTGGTTTACATAGCCAGTTCCAGGCCAACTGGAATACATAGTAAGACCCTGTCTCATAAAAAGAGAGTATATATCTGGCCATTTTGTGCATTGCTGTATAAATTGTATAAGTTTCATATAATATAAAATAGTTTCATGTCTAAATATACAACTCTATCAGTTGTGTCAGTATATTACTTTCTGTAATTAGGTTTTTTCCTTCAAGATCTTGTCCATGTAAGATTTTTCCTTCCATTTCTAAATGTTTATTGACAGGAGCAACTTCTTTGATTTAACACTTTAAATAATTCAATCCTTCTTGCATTCTGTGCACCAGTCTCCCATTGGTGGTAGAATTGTGGGCTTTAGTGCTCCTTTTGGTGCAGTGAATCTGCAGGTCTATTCTGGAAATTGGTGTGAAGCACTTAGATTAGAACTTTACTGTAGCCTTAACTGAGTTGTATGAGAAAGAGCTCCAGCAATCCTTCAATCATATGTAGCTCCCTATTGCTGCCTGTTTTCTGGAAGCTCTTCAACAATAATCAGATGCTAAAGGAAACCATTATAATAACTGACTGCAGATTCCAGTGGCCAGAAATATAGTTCTGTTCTATTCTCTAATTTATAAAAGATTGAGTGACAAATAAAAATTGTATGTATTTATAGAGTACAGTATTTTGTCTTGATATACCTATGTCCTGTGAATTGATTGCTATAAGATAATCATCATACCCATCACCTCATACAGAGTATAGTTTTCACAATCATTTTGCTTTTATAATCTTTCTCTCAAGCAGTAACCACCCTAGATTCTGAAAATCTTTTGATTCTTGAGTTTTATGCCATATATGAGATTTCCCTCAATGCAAATTTTCATATACATTAATTTGTTAGCTAAGATATACTGTCACTTTCAATGATCAAAAGATATATAAATCTACGTAACAAACTACTCTTGTAGGGTTGTGGTGTATATCAAGAATCATCCTACACATTTAAGAAAGTTAGAGACTAATAGCAACATTTTAGTAACATAGAACTGAAAAGATTCAGTGATAGAGCCAAATGACACAATAAATAGGATAGAAAAGGGAAACCAAACATACATAGCCAACTTTGCTGTCTAGTAGGAAAAAAATACGTTTCATTATTTTCATCAGAAATAGTGGTGAGACATAATTATGTACAATTTCAGTTTTTCCGATAAGTAGGTTCATTTCAAATATTGGAAAAGAAAAACTATAACTTGGAATTCATTTTAAATCTTGATCACTGCCTAAGAATACCGGGCCCCTACATATTTACTTGTCCCATGCATTCATAGTTGTCCACTGATTACTACACATGCAATATTTGATTACTGATGTCTAAGATACAGTAATATTTGGATTTTTAAAGTTGATCTGAAGGCTGCATATGCATTTCAATGATAGAATACTTATCTAGTATGCTTAAGGCTGTGGATTTGTTTCCTAGCAACAAAAGAAAAAAAAAAAACCTGGACCAGTCATGACAATATAAAATTTAAAATATTGATATTGAATTTAACTTGAACACAAAGCTTTAAAAGATCAGCTTTTCCTAATTTTAAAGAACAATATACAATAAATTATATTTTCCTTTTTGAAGATTTTGTTTAATTATGTATCTATGTGTGTGATTGTATATTTGCATGTGATTGTGAATGCCCACAGAGTTTAGCAGAGGGTGTTGGATACCCTGGTACTGGAGTTACAGGAAGTTTTGAGCTACCCAACATGTCCTTGGAACCTAACTGTGGTCTTCTGCAAGAGCAGTGTGCACTCTTAACTGCTGAGCCATCTCTCTATCCCCTAATTATATTTTGCTTAAATACTATAACTACTTGAACATAACTTGAAAAGTTCTACCTAATTAATGTGTTTATCCAATGTTTTCCATTTTTAAGTAGATTCAGTTTTCCTTATAGTAGCTCACATTTTTAAAACAACATCAATCACATCAGATTTTTTTAAAAAATATTAAGACCTTCTGCCAAAATAGACACCATACTGTAAATCTTATTTGTCATGTAATTATTTATTCTAAAGCAGCTTCCTGAAAGTAAGATCCCTAATTTCCTAGAATCCTATTTTAATTACAATATATAAATGCTGGTAACTGAGAGTACACTCCAGTGTAAATTTCAATATTAGTTTTTTACATAGGAGGGCAACATAAAGTTGAATAAATTTTTAGGCAAACAACTTGGCAATACGTAAAAGAGCTATAAATATGTCAAAGGACTTTGAAAAACCAGTTTTAAGTGATGACTCACAAAATTTTTGCCGTCAAAACAAATACAGTTTTACTGTGTTGATTCACACTTATTAAAATAGGAATATAATTTTAATTTCACAAAGAAAAGTTAAGCACTTCAGAAGTCATTAACAATATTTTTATTCGCAAACATAGCATATGTCATGTTAAACTTCAGGAGCTTTTATATGCTTTTTAAAACCTTACTGGTGAGTTGTGTTGAGCTTGCATTTTGTTTGACAGGCTTTTGTGGGCAGAGATCTGGAAGAGCAGTTGCGATCCGTGGCCAGTGTTGATGAACTCATGTCTGTCCTCTACCCGGAGTATTGGAAAATGTACAAGTGTCAGTTGAGGAAAGGAGGCTGGCAACAGTCCAGTCTCAACACAAGGACAGAAGACACTGTCAAATTTGCGGCAGCACATTACAACGCAGAGATCCTGAAAAGTAAGTACAGGAGCAAAGTCCATGTACGGCCCCATGCACCTCATGGTGAGGTGACATTGCGGGCCTTTGACACCACCATTTATACCACTTAGTATGTTTTATGTCCCAGAAAGTAAGTAGAAAATAGCAGAATTACTTTGAAAATATATTTTGGGGATTCATTTTAAGCATTAAGATGATTTCCTAAAATCCAAAGTTAGAAACCACATATCAAAACACATTTAACTTCTCCTTCACAGCTCCTATTCACGATTCAAGGACTTTCTTTTCTCCTTAGAGATGAGAGTTATGCAATTTCAGAGTCTTTTAGATAGATCCACTGAAGGGGTATTCCAATTGCCTCACCCTGCATCCCTGTTCAGTATGGAAGAAGCCAGAGAGGCCTGCATCCCTATTCCCTATTGGCAGTTTTGGTAATCCCTTCAAAGGAAAAAAAAAAAACACAGTTATTTTTCTAGTTGATATAATATTCCATTGCAAACATTTAAAAACATTTAAAAATATTTTATACATTAGGTTGATTTAGTTTTTTAAACAGCTTTCATCTTAAGAAAAAAACTGTACATAAACTTTCTTTTTGATTTGCATTTATACACGCTTAATTTACACTAAATGGTAGAACAATGTCTATTGTACATAAGATTCATGAGGCTTTGGGTTTGACCCCATAGAAACACACAGAGACAAGAAAATAGCAAGAGAAAGGAAAGAAATGTTTGTCAACCCTAACCACATCTTCAGATGCTTGTCTTGTTGCCTCAAAGATAACTGGCTCTGAGCTGCATTTTGTGAAGCTGATGAGCTCTCTGCCATACAACTTCACAACAATTATGATGCTGCATTAAATGGCATAATATGAATTGGTGGGCTAATTAGAAAAAAAAAACTTCCCTTTAATTTTTAGATCTTACTCTCTATAAAACTTCAATATTGGAGGTAAGGAGATGGCTTCGTTGATAAAACTACTTGCCATGCAAGCATGAGGACTTGAGTTCAAATCCCCAGCATGCACATAAAGTCACACAGCCTGTGAATGGTGGATGCCTGTAACTCCAAAGTTGGGAGGTACGAGGAGGAGACAAACAGTCCTATGAGCTAGCTTGACAGTCAGTCTAACCTAAACAGAGTGCCTACAGATCAATGAGACACCCTATTCAAGGCAGAGTGATAGAGGACCCGATGACTTCCTCTAGTGTCCACGTGCACATGGATAGATGCATGCTCCCACACACTCACATGCATGCATCACACACACACACACACAAAGACTTTGACACTGCAAAGTGTGTTGAGTGCAATAGCAAACAAAAATGGTGTCATGGTGGAGTAACCCATAGTTTATTGTCCTTTTTTTCAAAAGAAATTATTTCAGGGGAAATATGGAAGTAATAAACGAGAACACTTATGAATTGCATCATTTTTAATGTATTACAGATTCAACAGTGTTATAGATAAGCCACAAACTCATTTGAAGCAGAAGTCCAAAATACAGCATGAAGACAATAGGAAATTTGATTTTCTTGACAAAGTCAGTTTAGGCTACAAGTTATAATGGGTGTGAAATTACCTTATCTTGCACATAGCTACTGTCATGACGTTACTCACTGCGACCAGATAGCCTGCCTGAAATGGATTTTTGAATAAAGACCAAAACCATAGTTGTCTTTTCATCTGCATGTCCGTTTAAAAAATTAAAACGTTGCTTACATTTGCTTCTTCAATACCACAAAATAGTACATGCTCTTGCAAGTGAGCATGGCTTTATTTTCACACATCTTGTAAACATTCATATATTAAATTCTCTTTTTTTAAGGCATGGAAAAACCAAACCCAAGTGTTGTAGGATAGTGGTGTAATTTGTTAAGTTCTTAATTTAATTCTAATTTAGTTTGTTACCAGCCTGTAAAAATATTGTTTTAAAGAAAACTCAGCTGCACTGTAAGCACTATATTATATTCCTATTGACAGGGCAATTTAGGATCTAGTCAACTGTTTTTTTCTAAATTTCTACATGAAATTTTAAGTTCTGAAATCAAATGTTGAGTAACTTCCAACTGCTGTGGGCTTTATTTCTCCCTTCTGTGTAACTTATGGACTTCCCTGTGACTCGACAGGTATTGATAATGAGTGGAGAAAGACTCAATGCATGCCACGTGAGGTGTGTATAGATGTGGGGAAGGAGTTTGGAGCAGCCACAAACACCTTCTTTAAACCTCCATGTGTGTCCGTCTACAGATGTGGAGGCTGCTGCAACAGCGAGGGCCTGCAGTGCATGAACACCAGCACAGGTTACCTCAGCAAGACGGTAGGTATTTCTGATCTCAACTCTACCTCAGAGTCCTCTCAGAGACCCTGGGGGAAAGAGGCTTAAACTTCTAGTACCATTGGAGTGATTTAGTTCAAATCAGAGGTTCTTACTCTTTCTTCAGGGAATGAAGTAAACGTTTTAATTATTTCGTGGTTGTAATGGTACAATATCATATGGAAATAAATTAATGCATTATTAACTCTGTTCATGTAGTATGGTCAAAGCCCAAATGAAGATAATAATATACATGATACTGTAAAATTATGTGTCTATAAATATACACACTTGCAATACATAATCTATAACATACGCAGTATATAGAATTTATTTGAACATATATACATACACACACACACACACGCTATGTGCACATGCACACTCTGTGTGCTGAAGTTAATCATCTTCAGGGACTGTAGAGATAACTCACCTGGTAAAGTGCTTGTTGGGCATGGTGATGTGGGTATCTATTCTCAGTGCTGGGGAGGCAGAGACAGGCTGATCCCTAGGACTTCCTGGACAGCCAGGCTAGCCCAGTCAATGAAACCCAAGTTCTGTTGACAGTGCATGTCTCAAGAAACCATGCAAACTGTTACTTGGAAATACCACCTGCGAATGACCTCTGGTCTCTCTACACACATGCACTTCCATATACAAACATAGATGCATACAAGCACACAAAAAATACATAACCATGTTTATTTAGCAGTAAAACAGCTTGAAAAGTTTAAAATGTCTGGTTATAAAAACATAACAAAAATAATGTTCTCAAAATACATAATTAAATGCTCCATGTTCTGTGGTGTGATGAAAAAGGAAAATTTTGAAAATTTGATGCTAGATTTGATTTGTAAACTGTAGAAGTTCAGCAAATTAATGTTTTAATTTCATACATATTTAAGCTGATCTACATAGTCATCTAAATGTCCTCTTCTAATATAATATCAGTGGTCTTGATTATTAAGGCCATTTCTTTAATTATTTAAAGACATTTATTAAACTAGTGGAAAATTAGTCTTTAAGCCTAATGAAAATTATGTGGGAAAGCACAAAAGCCTAAGTGAATTGGTGACCCTGAAGAATTGAAGGGAGCCTAGAAAAGTAGACCTATAAAAAAACAGAGTTAGAAAATAGTTATGTAGAGTTACAAGGCAGATCATCAGGCTGTGATGAATATTATAGTTTTGTTTTAAAAGCTATCCGAATGGTCTTTGTACTGAAGAATGACATCTGATTGTTATTTTTACAAGATCATACTGGAGTAAGCATGGAATCAGTAGGTAGATATGGCAAAGAGGGAAAACTGAAGTAGAGAAAACAAAGGATACCATTTCACTGGTTGGAAAGAGCAGTAATAGTATCTTGAGGTACTGTGATGGGGTAACCATTTGAATTTAAGGGACTTCGGGGAACAGTAAACATTTGTCTTGAGACCTCATATCCAACTCCTCACATTCATGTTTTCTCATCTGTGTTTGCTCTTTGTAGTGATTATGTCTGAAGCCTGTCTCCTGATTTCCATGCTCCATCCTTAAACTTGTAACTTGTCTTCTTCCTAGAAAGTCAGAGTCAGTATGTGTAGGTCTAACCAAGAAACAACTAAACAAACTCCATTTCTACCCATATTCTCCACTTCATAAATTACAGTCATTAATTATTTTTATCAAGCCAAACTATGCTTTTAACAAAAGATTCAATCAACAGTTTCACTAAATAAACACCTTCTAACAATCCAGGACCACAGCTATCATCTTCATTCTGCATATCATGCTTGATACAGCCCACATTTGTCTCTTACCTGGACCATGGCACATGAAATTAATAGGTGCTGTCCTACCTCCATACCTATTTGCTATATTTTGAGGTGACTTATTTTTCTAAACTCTTTTCAGTAACATTATGTTCTTGAGATGGAGCAAACATTCACCCAGTGTTGCGATAAGCTCTTGTTTACTAGATTGAGTCAAAGGCACTGTGTTGTTAAATATTCTGAATGACTCTCTTCTTTAAGAGGAAAAACCCCTCTACGTGTTTTCCTGGGTCTCCATAAATCCCTCATCTCAGCCCTCATTTGTCATTGCTTTTACCCCCAAAGGCTACTTTTACTGGTACACAAATTCTTTTAACTCTTGAATTATGTAGCTGCCTCTTTCCTTCCAGTCATTACAATGTTGTACACTGTAATGAAAACATATCCATATGGGTGATGCCCAAATCTCCCATTGTATAGTGAATCTCATAATTCTTAGGGTTACAAGTAAATGTCATTTCCAGAACATTCTGCTGTATGGTCCTACAGCTTCCTTGGCTATCTGTACTTACCATCCTCATCATCTTCTGTCAGATTGTTTTAATTCTTGTGCTCTGAATTCCTTGAAACCAAAGTTTGTGTTTAGTTTTTAATTTGGAATATACAGTGCAAGAGTTGACACATGGTGAACACTTGGATCTGAACAGAATAAATATTTGAGAGCAAAGAAATTAGTTGAAGATCAGGGGTAGAATTTTGAATACGCAGATTTTGTGTTTGGAAGGTGCAGACACCAGAAAGATGTTGCATGCAGAATTCTAGTAAAGTCTAGTTAATATTGATTTGGGTGAAAGCATCATGTTGATAATTATTATTCAAAGGAAGGTCTAGTATGTTTATTAATAGAAACGTCTTTATTAGAAGAGAAGAGCAAAATACCAAGGTAAAACCACCATTCCTCATTCACTGAGTCAGCCACTGTTTCTTCTGATCTTATAAAATCATGCTCTCCTCCTACCCATAGAATCCACTGGGATGTTTTTGTGTATACTAAAAGAATACATTTAATTTAAATTCAGTTAAATATGTAGTGTATCATACTGTTTTACAGTAAGTGGTGACAAACATCCTTTAAAAATAGAGTTTATAATATGAAGAAGAAAATTAATATTCAGAGTTGGAGAGATGTTCAGTGATTAAGAGTACAAAGATGATTAAGATTGAGATATTCTGTATAAAATACAAAAAAATTCAATAAAAAATTTTACAAAAAATAAAATAAAGACACATTTTCAAAAATGTGTATGTACTACTGCTCTTGCGGAGAACCCAAGTTCAGGTCCCAGAATGCACTTTGGGTGTCTCATAACCACCTGTAATTTTAGCTCCAGAGGATCCAATGCCTCTGACCTATGTGAGCACTTATACTCACTGGAACATACACACACACACACATACACAGAATTAAAAATAAAATAAATCAAAAGATAAAAGTAACATTCATCAAGCCATTAGAAGTAATAGCCCGGCAAGGTGGTACACCCCTTTAATCCCAGAACTAGGGAACCAGAAGCTGGTAGATCTCTGAGTTTGAGGACTGTTCTACATAGGGCGTTCCATGCCAGCCAGGGTTAAATGGTGAGACCCTGTCTCAAAAAACGGAAAATGGTATAGGTATTATAAGCCAGAATTTCACAGGTTTATGGAAATACACTCAAGGAGCTTTACAAATCAAAGCTAAGACTTGAAATCATGAGGGCAAGGGGGCACTGTTAGTTGTGTTTCTCTTTTTACCAATATTGCAGTTTGTAAAATCTACTTAAGAAACATTTTTCCAAGTTTATTAACATTATTATAGTTTCAATGTATATATGAGAGTTGTGTGAGGATTTCTTTCAAATATAAAAGGAAGCTCCTTACTGGTAGATTTTTTTGAACGTAAAGAAAAATCAAGTTTTTGTTTTGTTAACGTTCCAGAAATATTTTAGCAACCAAAGTCACCAGTTGGAGCCATATAAACTATAAGGACACAAGTACTTCAAGTGTTGTGCTCAAACTGTTGCTTTTTGAAATAGAAACCATAGAAATGTTTTCATGGGGCTCAGTGAAGGGCAGGTTATCAGAATATATGAGGAAGCCAGCTGCTAGTTGCAAAGTAAAACCACATGCACTGAGCATTCCAGAGCTGAGTAATCAATAACAACTGCTTCAGAGTCTTCCCCCACGGATATCTAAGCACTGGGAAAATGTAGAGATTCGATGTCAACCTCTTGCATAAGCATGTGCTTTAAGTGTATTTTCTTATGAGAAGTTGTATATTTAGGAGGGAAAAAAAAACAAGAAATGAATGAATTTTGAAGAAAGTGAGATATTTGGTGATGAAAGTCGGAACAAAAGAAAGGGTATGCTTTCAAGCTGCACGTGTGGAACCAGTTGTTGGAATCTTCCTATTGACCTTATAATAATGTCATCCTCAAGATGGGAGTGAATAGAACCAAGTTACTAGGTCTGGGGTATCTCATTGGAAGTCCTGAGGTTTGGTCTCAAGAAACTGAGGCCCTTCCATATAGTCATTAGTGCTAGACCATAGAAAGCAGCTTAGCCATGCTGAGCTAATTTTGAGGATTATTTAAAATTATGTATTTCCATCTCAAAAAGAGAGAGCAATTTATTTTTCATTGTTTTATAAAGAAATAATATGAGCATACGTTGCCAAGCACTCTAAATTATGCTTTATATATAAATCGAATGCTTAGGATATTTTTACAACAAACATACTTATACCTCAGTTTATAAAATGTAACTATATGCTGCTGAAAAGAAAGTAATATTTTGCGCTAGAGAAATATTTCTTCCACTAACTACACAGAATGCTGTGGCAGTGTGAATGACTAATTTATTCCACTCATATGTTTTAATGTATTCAATAAGTCAAATATGACTTGTATCTTTAGCAGATTAATATTTGGTAAGCACAGTTGCTTGAAAATGGGTTTTTATCATGATATAGAAAAAAAAAGCTCTATACTAGTAAGAGGTATCAGAAGTTTATGCATCATGAAGGCATCCATGGAAATTACCAGCTTTGGCCAAACAAAAGTATTGATGAGCTCACAGATCTTATTGCATACTCCAACGGCTCCTGATTTGCGGTTCTAACTTCCATTGTAAAACAGTGGATGGATTTCATGCATGGCAGTAAGTTAAAATTAATAAAGTGCTGGATAGAAATGAGTCAGTCGGTATGCCT